ATAAGAGAATCAGTAAGGTTTAGTAAAAGTTGTGGTGCTAGGCTAGCAATAGCAAAACAGGCCAATAACAATGTAAATGTCCATTTTAACCCTTCAAACTATGAGGGAACATGCTCACAACAAAAAATTGTACAATTTTATCTGTGCTGCTTTTTAATCAGAGATGTACTGTCAGAGTTTCCTATAAATAATCTCAACATAAATACTTCAAACCTGCCTGGGTTACGGTTTATTTCCATGGCAGCCACATTAAATATTAAGCTCAGAGCTGCTTGGTTATCTTCAATTTTCCAAGTTCTATTTAAGACTTTAGTGGGTGTTCTTGTTTCATTTTCATAAAATCTGATTACCTATTACAAATAGATTGCAAAGGGATATGATTTTTTTTTTCTGTTCATAAACCTCTTGATATTAAACACTATTTGTTGTCACATTCAATAATTTTGATGTTTATTGAAGTATAAATGTAAACAGAAATCACAGCTCTGTAAAAGGTTCAGACTTTGGGGATTTATTTAATACCAGTATTAAATAGAGTATAATCATATGCCAGGTGCAATAAAGATTAATGTGCCATTTGTTACTTATTTGTCCTAATCTGCATTGTTAGGATGGATCCATCACTTCATAACCAGTATCAAATCAATCAATCTGAACTGCAGCCGATCCTTTCCAGTTCAAAAACTAACATACTTACATAATAAACTCTGAATTGGCTAACTGCATGGCGATATTTTAAATATCTGCTTGGCATTAGGAAACATTTACAATTTAACAAGCCTAAACGAGAAGGCAAATCAAAACTGGAATACTCTACACTAAAGAATTTTAAAACATTTTTTTATTATTATTATTTCGGAAACCTCTTCACTCCGTTTTCAAAACAAACAGTAAAATTAAATTTTTCTCTCCAAAACAGAGCTTTAAATCACGCATCATTTCATCTTGTGAACTGGATGTATCGTTACAGCCCCAGTCTCCATCCTTTAAAATCCCTCTTTCTTAGGGGACGGCGTTGCCCTCGGCCACATTCTGGAGCGATAGAAGCACTGGTTGCTTGGTAACAGGTACAAGTTTAGAGTCCTGCATGACGGTGATGACCAGGGCGAGAGGACAGACTCGACAAGCCTGTAGCACACATATACATGTTGCTTTTAGGATCGGGGATTGGCACCGAGCTGTCGGCAAACTCCTTGGGGCATGAGTGACATTAAACAGCACAAGTGTCTGAGAGATCGATGCAGGTGCAGCCACAATTTTTGGCGCACCCCGTTTTCTGTAAAGCTGTGCAGGTCTACATATGAAACATTCGGCATCAAAGGCTGTGGAACCACAGAGTGAAGGCGGGAGCTGTGAGGAAGCCTTGAACTTCACAGGGTTTCTAAACATGGAGTCCCTCACTGCTGCGGGGGTCTGTGGCAGCCAGCATGCCAGATTTGTTTCATAGACAAATAAATGCAAACTGCAACAGCTCACACACACACGGCAAATGGGGCATCATCATTAAATGCTGGCAGGGCGATGCTGGGTTTGTAATCTGGTTTTCCCATAAACTCTGCAGTTTACAGCCTGCATCATGTCTTCTTTTATAGGGATAAAACAATTCACAATCTCCATGTCAAAGTAAAAGAGGAGTCTCCAGGATGTCACCCGACTGATAGCAGCATAAAACCTGGTCTTGCACATAACTTGCCTCCTTATTTGGTCGTAATGAAAAAGTCTGTAGATATGAAGGATAGTAAAGAGAAATTGTGGCAGCTGCATATTTTCAGTTAAACATGGACAGTGAAGGAGCTGATATCAGAAGTACTGCTGAAAAAATTACCTAAAATATTGCAGAAATATATATATATAATCCACTGTGTGTATCAATGCTCATTATGCACGTTTGGTGTCTGCACACTGTACCAAATATTGCATCAAAACAGTCCTTTGTGATCGCACTATTGCACACATTCACACTGCGATGGCGGTTAAGATTTTATAAATTGTGCAGCTCCATTTTCTGCTATTTACATCACTGTCTTCAGCGTGTTGATCTTCAGATTTCTGATGTCAAAGACTCAAGTGCGTCTTAATGTCGCCATCACGATTTCAATCCCCAATCTGCATCGGATGTCTAGTGAGATGATTTGAAAGTTACAGATTGTGAGCGACAGAGAGCGGTGGGGAGTCGGGAGGGAGTGAGGAGTATCGACTCTTCACCACGCCGTTTGGACACACCACAAATCCCCAAACAAGACAGGCAGAGAGAGCAAAGCCTTCTTTTTAGCACTTCGATGAGTGTGAATTTTAAAAATTAATCTGAAGCTCAGCTGGCCTTTTAAGACTTCAAGGGGCCACTTTAAAGTTTCTAGAGTGCTTGTATTAGTTTCATTCCGAGATGCTTTTATTTTAATTATCTCTCCTTCCTGTCTTCAGCATTACACTTTTGTTTTCTTTCGTCTGCACATGAAACTAAAAGCCCGCTGTCCATTCACGTTGCTGAAGATCTGCATTAGCGTACATCTCCCAGGGAAAGTTTCCTTTTGTTTCTTCACTCAAGAACTGATATTCTCATAAAAAACAAAACAGTCATTTACTCACCATACATTATTGCTTGCTGAAGCTTTAAAACTGTAGCTCACGAAAACCCAAAAGATTTTTTTAACAACTTCATTTATATCAATAACAGTGACAAGGTGGTGGAATTCTTAATAAAAACTACGATGATTCATTTTTATGAGAATTGACTCAGACGCTGTGACATTTCACCATGATCATGCAAACTCATAAACGGCCCTATGTGTGTCACTGTCAACTCCACGTACTCTGTTTTCATTTTTATTTACAGGAGGATGACTCCAACACAACAACTGAATCAAACCAAGACTTCTCACACAAAAAGTAAAGAGATCAAGCAAAAGAGTTGGTGAATGGTAGCAGGGGTCTGGGGCTTGACAACAGAGGTTATTAAAAAGATGGAAGGTGTACCCAGCTCATCTTTCACCCACAGTCGATGTGCCTACGCAAAAAGTTACAGAAACTAAACCCTGGTGAAACTGCATCCCATTGCTGTCTGTCTTTGGCAGCATCAGCAAGCTTAGCTGCAGTTCAAAATGCAGCTGATGTATCACTGTATGCATAATAAATTATGTTTTTTCTCTCCTTTTGTTTATTTTTGCTTATAAAGTGTTGGGTACATTTATTGGCAACCATTGTAAAAGTGCAAAAAATACCTTAAATTAGTCAAATATTGCAGCAGCACAAATTCACACAGAAAATAATTGAAAAATCCAACCTGAGAAATATTTAGTTCCATCAAAATCACCAGAGATAAAGTTATGGGAATTCCTTAACCACTCCTAAAAAAAAAAAAAGAAGTTTTTCATACATAGTTTCTATGAACTTTTTAATTAATGATTTTCTGCTTCCCTGGTGGTCAAGTATTTTGTATCACAAAGCAAAAAAAAATTCTGTAATCCACTGGTTAGAAGAATGGAAGAGAAACCATATTTGTCTTGCTCCCCATAGCAGTGAAGGAAATGCTAAGGGAGATTAAAAAAAAAGAAAAGAAAAAGAAACAATACTTCAAAGCTCAATGTTGGAGAATTGCATCAAAGAGTGGTCCCTACATCACCATGACAACGCTCAGATCAGGGGTCTTAAACTCCACTTCTAGAGAGGTGATATTCTGTCACTTTTAAATGTGTCCTTGGCTCAACACAGCTGAAGAAAAAAGCAGAATTACCATCACAGCACGTGGTCGGGTTCTACACAGACCTGATAATGACTCAATTATTTGGATCAGGTGTGTTGATGCAGATACATTTCTAAAGGTAGCAGTACACTGGCTCCAAAGATTGGAGTTTGAGACACCTTTGATTCTATTTAGATGCCATTCATTAGTTTGAGGGGAGGACAAAAAAAACAAAAAACAAACCAACATTCGGCTCCACTATTTACAAGGTAAAAGTTTGAACTCGACCCACCAATATGCCTCAGCTCCACATCAGTCACAAATCTGGACAACTATGAGGTCCCAGAAAGTAAGGATTGTGGAACAGGATGTTGTGGTATAAATCCAAAAAGCAGATATTGTGCAAAAAGGGTCTAGTCGAAACTTTCTTACTATGTATGCTTCAAGGTTATGAAATCTAATAGAAGAAAACTAAGCAGTGTCTTTTTGCCAAAGGGCAATACGAGGCATTCACACCGCTAATTGTGCCACCGGTGCTTTTATTAAAACAATTATTTTGTCTCCACAGAATAAATCTACTCATATTTATCACTGTGAGATTACATTGGATTAATTTAAAGTCTTGTTTTACACATCTTTACTTTAGTAGGGGTGCCGAAAAATGTTTCACATAAAATTTTAATAATTTAGTTTTCACATTCACCCCACCTTTCATTCAACATTAATTGTTTTAAATAAGCTTGGAGAAGATATAAACTTCAGCTGCGTCAAGAGGAAATCCCACAGTTACAATTATTACGTGAAAAGAGGCAAAATATATATATATATTTAATTGCAAACTTTACTGACAATGTCGCCACAGTTCATATTTGCATATCTGTGTATGCGCCCAATCACTCGTCAGGCGGTGAATGGGTGGTTTGAATTTGCAGGTCACTTCTGAATCACTCCACTGCAGTGTCATACATGCTTGTGACACCAATGGCAGAGGCGGAGAGGGGAGACTGCAGCACAACAAAGGGAAAAACAAAACAGGTCTCCAAGGTGATTGTGGAGATTTCTGAGAATGAAACCAATGTGCTTATTATGAGAGTGGCAGGCTAAATAGGATGGAGGATGAGCCAGGAGTTTGTAGGAGCACAGTAATCTCCAATGGCAATTTGCCGACCTTAGTTTCAGCACACAAACACTTTATATAATGCATCTGAAAGATGTCGGTCCGTAGCTGACGACTGGAACAAATGGTCAAACAAAGTATGCTGATATTGGTTCAAACTAAGCAGAAATACACAGCATCCGAGTAGCGACGGGTTCTGTGTACCTGTGGCTGGGTCAACAGTTCGCTCAATCAAGTGGTCGTCCTGGTGAACCCATTCTCCGTTGCACTTGAAGTAGATCTGTGTGGCCGGGGTCGAGCGGCAGGACAGGGTCACGGGCTTGTTCTTCACGATGTATTCGTCCTCAGGCTCCACCAGGAAGTGAGGCAGGAGGTCCGAGAACGCGGCGGGAAGCGCTGCCGTGGCCGGATGCTCTGAACCTTGGAGAATAAAAGAAGAGAGACAGAGAATGAAATATATATTTCCAAGCTTTTGAAGTTGTGTCTGCAAGGCAGACACCGAGCCTATTCCCTGCCTCCTTGTTGTAACTGCTGAGCTAAGATCAAATGCAGAGATTCGGCGTCCTTGGTAAGTTTTGGCTCATGCGCACGCATGCGGGACAAGACGGTAGAAGATGGACAGACAAAGAGAAGGAGGAAGACAGATTTGTATGGTGTGGCGTTAGCAGTGACAGCGCTCAGCCTTGTGCGCTCCTGGCTGGGTCACAGGGGCAGCGCAGTCCGTGTCTTCACTTCGGCTCTTAATCACAGCCCTTTTAACATCAGCGCTGATGGACGAGCAGCCATAAATCCTGCCTTAGTGACAAGACTACTTCACACTGTGTTATAGTGCTTTTCTGCCAGGACTCTAACCCGGCCTACATTAAGCGCCGCACAACAGAAAGGACAGAGTCTCAAGATAAGTCACAGTTAAAACAGCCCACTGACTTAAAATCACTTGTCTCCACGTGTTTCTAATTACTTAAATCTCCTGTATGATAAACTCGGCACATGGAGGAAGAAAGGGGACAATACAGCAATGTGGGACAGTACTGAAACCCCCGGAAGTTCTCATGATTTGTTGTGTTTCAGCCACAAACCTAAATGTATGTTACTGGGATTTTATGTGACAAACCAACACAAATTGATAATTAATTGGAAAGTGAAAGGAGTCCCTTTTTAATAGTTTCTATTCCTTTAGCACCTCGCTTACTTCATGTATTCTTCACTTAATCTTTACACATAATTTATTGTTTATTTGCTTTGATTTATTCGTAAGTGTGGATTACTTGGGCTTTTGACATCTGCTGTGAATTTTATGTCGCCTACCCCATTAGAGTTTTGTGTTTAAACAGAAAAACATGACAATGTGTTCAATGCTTATTTTTTTTTCCATATGTATTTACTGCTACTTTTTTTTTTACTCCATACATCTCAATAAGTTTGCAAAGCTCTGTAAGTCGTCTCTACACCTTCTGAGCTGTATTTGCTTGGAAAATTCGCTACAGTCTACGCCAGACTTCTGTGCTTCCTAAAAAACGTTTAAAACAAACACATGATGACACAAACGTGCCTACAGCGCACAGATCCTTCCTCTATGAACACGCTTTCTCTTTCTCTAAACATATTAGCCCTGCTTGAGAGATAGCAAGCGGACACAGAACAGAGCAGAAAGAAGGGAAATAACCTCTTTACGCTGCCGACACACAGGGGAGATCAGTAAATCCCAAAATAAAACCCCTTTAAAAGGAGCGTAATATTAATTTACTGCCCTGAATCCAATATGGCTGACAGGCCAGACATTAACAACCTTCTCCATCACTCCCCGTGCAGCAGGAGAGGAAAAGGAGTCCACATCTCTCATAATGAAACGACAGCACTCATCCTGACCTTTCTCTCCGCTGTTCCTCCCATGGTCCCTCCCCCACCGAGCCTTTTGTTCCTCCTAAGAGCACGTTGAAGCTTTCGTTGGGGATTACATGAAGTTGTGTTATAAATACCAATCTAGATAAATATGTTATCTGACAGTTGCTTCCCCTCTACACATCACATAAATGTCTTTCTTTCCTTGCATGTTTCTTTTTTTTTTTTCCCTTCGCTTCACCCTTGTGCTGAGTTGCTAATTCATCAGGATGAGATTCAGAGAGGCGCGCCGGCGCTGCTGTCGCTGAACCCCATTAATGTTTCGTGTACGTGTTTAACTCTTAATGAAAACTAAATGTTCTGTGTCCAATGAACGACATACATCACTCGCTGACACGTTGCCATTTTCCCTGTTTTTCCCCAGCACATTTCCCGTATTGCACGCGTTTGCTGAGAAAAACATGGCAGCTCTTCTGTGCGTTACAACACAACCGCCTGACATTATTTACTCTGTATGCAAGCGTGTCTCCTGTCTCGTGGTGTCACGGAAAAGGCCACGGTTTATCATGAATAGTGACTATAATTGCTCTAAAGCGAAGCCAAAAACTTTGCTAATAAACAGCGGGGGAGCAGCAGGTCAGGCTGTTTGAAAACGTGTTGGTCCTAATGATGGCGGCTTCTTCTAATGCGTGACTTTCAGCTTTGTGACCACGACTATTAGTTGGCTGAGCTGACCTTTCCTCACACATCCCCTCCAAAAAAAAAAAAAAAAAAACTCCCTGTGCGCTAAAAAAGGTGGGCTGATGAAGACTGTGGGTGAGACCTGCCTCACACCTGCCGGGTTAATCGTTTCTTAAAAGACAGATGATATTCAAGCAAAGAAAGAGAAAGAGAGAAAGAGAGAGAGAGAAAATCCCCAACAAGAAGCCCAACGAGTTGCAAGTAAGGCTTGATGTTGTTAACATGCCACTACTTCTCATTTGCAGGGGTCACAATTGGCATGAACTCCTAACTTTTGATGATGTTTCCAATTTGTATTTGTGTGTGGGTGCATGGCAGTGCACTTCAAAGGAGGTGGGGGGTAAGCCTTCCATTTTATTGCATGTTCTTTAGGTTAATGAGGTTAAATACGTAATTTCTTTGGAGAAGTAAATTATCATTTTATGGGAGGGCATTCCAGTCACGCACTACTTTATGTCAAACTCATAATGAAGGGCTGATGGTGACTAAATTGGCTTAGATTATTGTCACGGCACAACATACTTCAAAGTCATCCGGCACACAAACACACACGGGGAGTATAAGCCACTTAGCAGACATCTCGCAGGTCAATGCACACACTAAATAAACATACTGTCGCTCCATAGGCTCTGCATTACATTCCTCTCCGAGTGGGATTGGCTTAGGCCGACATTATGTGTCAAAAACATGCAAGGTCATCGACAGGTCATTGCATACGTGCATAAACAACAAACACTAGAGGCTAAATGTCTCCCTGCCTAATCAGGCAGCCAATGAAAATGATTTATTCAGTGCAATATGCCGGATGTGATGCAGGAAGGCTGTAAACCGTGATGTTTGAAGGAAACGCGGAAGGTTTTGAACTCATATTTGGCTGCAGCTGCTTCTTCAGAGACAATTCAGCTGGCAAAATACACAAACGCACACGCACGTATCGCTAAACACACAGAACACGGATGCACCAGCTGTCAGTGTGCTGAGCCATGATGTCCAGGGCAGATTTCCTGCTGCAAACAGACTCCATGTCTCATCTGTCCAGCTGACCATGTCAACTCCCGGAGTCAGGGGCACATCTACAGGAGGAGCATGAGGAGGACGTGATGAAGTGTTTGCGATGCAGGGAAAGAGACAGCTGGATATGCTTCTAAAACCCAAAAATAGAATAATGTAACCGCAGTGGAGCTGGGCGATACGGAGACAAAATGCTATTACAAAGTTGTTCACAATACAAACAATTTTAGCTATGAATCTCCCACAAGCACAAATGTTACTCTAGCGCTATGGTATACAAATTACCAGGCTACTTAAAGAAAATGCTTGTATTTTCCTAACTGTGTAGCATGGGAGTGGCAGCATAATGTTGTGGGAACTGATACACTTTATGAAATAGATGGCACCATGAGGAAAGAACATTTTACAGAAAAACTGGAGCAAACTTCTTAAGGAATCAGCTAGGATCTTCTGTCTGTCTTACTTATTAAGACAACAAACTCATTGTTTTGACATGACAATCACAAAGTCCTCGACTCTGTGGAGAAGCTGTAGGTAGATCTGACAAGGCGTGTGTGAGCCGGGCTACAAACCTGACTTGGTTCTACCAGTTCTGTCAGAAGGAATGGGCCAGAACCCTCTAGAAATGTTGTCCCTGGCATTTAGTAAATAGAATATTGTTTTGGTAATTTTAACTAACCTAAAGTTTGGACTGATTTAACTTCAGACAGTGAGAAAAAATTGTGGTTTGTTTTTTTAATGTGGTGTATGTAAACATCTGGTTTCAACTGTTTAACCCGATTAAAAGTCTGCAAGATTTCAAAGCAAATTGATAATCTCTGATCTGATTCAGCTGATGCAGATCAATTCAAACTGATATGTTTGAGCTTTTTTGCATTAAAGGTAAAAAAAAAAAATCTCTCAGGATGTCTCAGAGATTTTCTCTGGCAGTGGCGCAAAAAGTGGGTATGCGCTGTATGCAACGCAAAGGGGCGCTGCACTAGAGGAGGCGCAAAAACAATGAGGGGAATTTTTTTCTCATCAGCATTTTA